TGACAGTGAGGTAAGCAAGACTCGAAACACCTTTGACTGCATATTCATCTTCCCAGGCAACCATTTCCTTTGGATCCCGGGGAATAGCGACCTCAGGAAGAAAGAGCTCCCCTTCCGATAACTGGAAAAACTCCACCCGTCGTCGTCCCACTATATTCTACTTATTCGAACCAAGTGACCCAGTTCTGAACTGTCGTAGCATGTAAAATGCGTATACAGTACGAAACGTGCCGGAAACCATCGACTGGATGTGAAGTAATTCTTTATGTCGTGCTCTTCTGTGGAGAGTACACGGTCCTCATTGAACCGGAAGCAACGCTAACACTGGTTGCAACAGACATATGTCACGGTTGTAGCAAGGCACGCTTATGCGTCGTGATCCGCTATGCGTGAGGCACGTGCCGCACAGTTAATGCAGCGACAATAGTGGGCACTTGCCAGGAACCGTCTGTCAGAAAACTTAAGCAAGGACGAAAAACGAAACAAATTACGCCTATTTCCAAACACCATCAGTTGGGCAGGGCAGAACAATGAACGGTTGAAAGCGATTGGCATCGTGAAAGCCGGCTTCGCTCGGTCGGACTTTGTGCGCATTTTGTCCAGCTTCCGGCAGAAGGAGAGAAAAGCCGTAGATTGAAACGAAAATGAAGCGGTGCTCCCGTGGGAGGCAACGCGACGCAAGGAAGGTGATGGAGACGAAACACCGCGAGGTGAAGCGCCGAGGTAGTGGTGGCTGTCGTCATGCCGTCTGCTTCCGCACCTCACCTTCTGACACCGAAGGATAGACGGCCACCGGGGAATGAAACGTATACAGCACGCACACGTGCCATGCTGTGTAGCCGACCGGCTGGCCAACCACTGATGACGACTATCAAGCAAAAGTCACGTGATTAATCGATGAGTGACGAGCGCACAATGACACGAGCCACTATGAGGTCAATTGCAGAACGACCACACCCGGTCGACTGCAACGCGCTCATCGCGTCCACCATTCACTGGTCCAGTGCTTGTCAGTCCCCGTCCGCGTGTCCGGTTGGAGGTCCACTTCTCTACCGTTGAAGGCCGAACAGCAATAGCTTTGACAACAAAGCGCCTAATTCGGTTTAGTGCTGACTGTTGTGCCTCAATGTTGTTTAGCAACGACTTAACGACGCGACGCACCGGACACAGACTGACCAGTTGGACGACGAAGCGAAACCGCATCAACCATCCGGTCGCCGGTTAGCGAGGTTGCGTCGCCGCGTAGCCACCTGTCTGCTTGCCCGCCTACCCGCTCGCCGAACCACAATACCTCTCTCGCGCCGAGGGCAAGAAGTATGACTTTCGTAATGTACAGCATCGAGGTATCTGATGAGTAAAGCGCGGTCGAGGCGATAGAATTACGCATAGCTGGAGTCAGTCGTCTTTTCAGGTCATGTCTATTCGTGACATCGCTGGTGAAGACACGTCCGCATTCATTCCGTTGTCATTCACCGTGTCTTCCGATAACTTCATTAGCCTCTTACCCATCGAATCGATATAACGCTTGGTTAATTTAGCTCCAAGATTAGTCAGTCCCATTCTGTTGAAGGGATTAAGATTATTCTGAAATGGAACAACGATTCCTTGTCCGTTCGAACAGCTGGGGGTGCCACTTCTTTTCGACTGATTGTTCCAACTTAACCAAACGGATGTATTTTAATGCTTGAATGTAAGAAACATGACTGTATCATTCGTCACCATCACAACTTAAGCGCGTCAGTGCTCCAGTTAGTACCGTCCTCTGTTTGCGAGGTGGATCTCGACCACATTTGCATAATTCCAAGTATTCTGCGACCCTCTCGACGTGCGTGTACAGTTGCCTTGTCAACAAGCTTGTCTCTCTATCATCAGCTGTATGGTCTTCACTTCGGCCTCAATCCTTTGCCAGA